ACACACATATACACACACACACAGAGTATTCTTCTGTCAGGGCTGAATATTTTATATTTTAAGAAAGCCTTTATAAGTTAAGGAACTCTGGTGATCTAGTAGATAAGAGGTGGTTTGAATCCATCAGAGGCTCCATCAGAGAAAAATGAGCAATCTCTTCATTTACAGCCTCTGGAAACCCACTGGAATGTCAGTTATGTATTTATACTCAAAGGCAATGAGTAAGTGAGTTGCAAGTTCAAGGGAGCCCCAGTAACATAGGTCAAAGTAAGTAGTGCTGCAAACTTAACAACCCACTATCTCTAGTAATTGGACTCTATCAGCTGTTCTACAGATGGCCAGTTTCCTCCCATTTCAGTTTACAGCCTTGGAAATCTGATAAGGGGAGTCTCAGTGAGTCATAACTGACTCAGTGGCAGTGACAGGATTTGAGTTTTCTTAGTAGAACAACCTCCAGGAGTTTATGCCGCTGAAATGATCCTGACTCATTGCAACTCCATGCATTTTGTAGTTATCCTGTGGTTTCCAATGTATGTGATCTCATAGAAGGAGACTGCCAGTCCTTTCTTCTGTAGCACAAATGGGTGGAATTGAACCACCAGCCTTTCAGTTAGTAGCCACATTCAAACTGTTTCTAAGCACCCAAGAAAGCTCTACGGAGCTCAGTTCTATGTTGTCACAGAGGCAGCCATGCACCAGAATCCATGAAAGCGGGCTGCTTGGGTGTTTCACCTGTTGTTATGTTCTGGCAAATCAACTATGGTTCATGGTAACCCCATCAACAATAGGGACTACCCTTGTCCTATCTTGTGCCATCCTCACAATCTCCAACCTGGCCCAGCCCATAGTTGAAGTAACTGTGCCGATCCACCTTGTAGAGGGTCTACTTCTTTTATGATGATCCTTTTACTTTTCTCAGCATTTCTTCAAGGACTGTCACCTCCTTGCCAGAAATATGTGAGCTGAAGGTTCACAATCCTTGCTCTGGTTGCACGTTTTTTTCCAAACAAATAAATGTGTTTGTTCTTGTTGCAGTCCATGGGACAGTCTCTTTGTTAACTTGAAACCTGATTGAATTGTCCTGATTGAATTATGTGTTCCTTTGTTTCGTACCACCAGGACCAGGACAGCAACAAGAAGATTTGCTCCGCTTTCATGAGATGGATGCATAGATACAGACATAGAAATTTCACACCTTCTTTAAAGGTTTGAAACTCTTTACAATTTTGGGGTTATTTGCTTGGAGGGTTCCCCCCCCCATGATATATAATTCTCTATCTTCTCCCTCCTCCTATACACCAGGTAAGCATTATCTTCTGGTAGCTTTCACTGAGTTGACCCCAATCTCATGGTCATCCCATGCATGACAGAACAAAACTTCCCAGTTCTATGTCATTCTGTGGCAGGAAGGGTTCTTGTGATCCGTAGAGCGTTAATTAGCTTGTTATCACATGATCACCAGGCCTTTCTTCCTAGCCCATCTTAGCCTGAAAGCTCAGCTGATACTCATTCAGTATCACAGCACTGACAGACAGGTGGTGGTTGTGACTGAGGCACGCCGGCTGGAGTTCATACTCCTGCCTCCTTCATGGAAGGATGGGAGGTGGGAATTCTACCACTGAGCCATCAATGCTTCGGACGTCTGAAAGATGGAACGTGTTTTTCTCCTCTCTTTGACCACTTCCAGTTCAATGGGACACAATAACAACAAAGGCAAAAAGGTAATTTCAAAGAAGGCTGTTAGTACAGTCATGCAGGAACAGATGGTAGAGCAAATGATGAATGCTATCCTGACTAACCTAAAGGTTACAGGTTCGAGTGCACATAGGATTGCCTCAGAAGAAATGCCTGACAATCCACTTCTCAAAAACCTGCCTTTGTAAGATCTATGGAACCTTTGTCTATTGCCCTGAGATAATCTTTAAATATTAAAACAGAAATATCCCCGACGTCAGTCCAATTTTACAACAGTGGCACTAAGCAGTATTTGCCCTTTTGTGACTGAGATATTTCACTAAGCATAATGTCCTCCAAGGATGGGATAAATAATGTATACTGCATTGAAACAGAGGAGGGAGAGAACTGTTTAAAAGGGATATATGATGGGTATTATTGTCATGACAGGAGTCCAGAACGAAGGCTGCATAGTGGAGTGGACTTGGGGAGAGGGATTGTATAACAATGAAAAATTTTTTATTTTACATTAAAAAAAAAGAGCAAACTGGGGTGGTAGGGTGGGTAGGGAGAAAAGTGTAAAAATGAATGAATGGAAATTTTTTTTAAAATCCTTTGGGGTGGAAATGGGAAAGATTCAATTGGGGAATTGGAAAAAGATAGTATTATAATAATAGGCTTAGATCAATAGTAATTAATTATATGGAATGCAGTTTATATAAATGATTATATTAAATACAAAGTAAATGAAGGATTGTATAGAACACAATGAATATGAATGGGACACAATGTAGATGTCTATGATATGGAAACCAATAAAAAACATTTTAAAAAAAAGAAAGTGGGAGAAAAAAAAAAAACCAAAACAGAAATATCCCTTGAAGACTTAAAATCAGACAGCAGTTGTTTAGCTTAAAAAGCGAACTGGGGAGGTAGGGAGGAAAATGTGCAACAATAAATGAATGAAAATCCACCTTTTTTGGTAAACTTTCATTAAAATCACAATAAAAAGTAATTATAGTAAAGAAAGATCTGAACGATTACATTATTACCCCCAGATCCCTTCTATGATTTCCTCTGGAAGAATTGTTTTCACACTTTCCATTTTCATGGCAGGATATAGCTAATTCTTTTGACTTCCTCATCAACGCCACATCCCACCTGTCTGTGATGAGCCACAAGGTCACCGTCGTGTCCCAGTATCTCCAGGATGTACAGTCAGCGTCACTTGAAGCAGCCTTGAAGGAACCCACAGAGGGGACACAGAGGGAGGAGGCAAAGTTCATGGGTAAGTCCACTCATCACCACTCAGGCAATTACTTGTACACACAGGAGATGTTGTTTTATTGTGTTTTAGTTCATTCCACTTCGCAGTTACTGTGATTTTCCCAAAAGGAGGTTTCTGCAACTACATTTTGGACAACAGTTTTGGTTGGTTGGTTGGTTGGTTGGTTGGTTGGTTGGTGTTTTGTATTGTTGTTTTTTTCACAACAGTGTAGGTCTCTCTGCAGCACATTTTTGGTAATTCTTGCACTATTTCAAAACTCTCTCATGGTGCTATTGCACACTTAACAGAAAAGTAAAACCAAGCCCACTGTCAGGGAAATCAATTCCAACTCACAGTAACCTTCCATTGAGTTTCATAAGCCTTTAAATATGGGAAGAGACTGCCTATCTGTATCCTTCAGAGTGACTGGTGGATTTAAACCACCAGGGTTTTTATTATCAGTGCAACATGTAACTAATTAAGCCACCAGAGCTCCTTAATAAACTACAGTATAGTGTTAGACTAACTTCTGTCTGTGCTGGCAACAATTCCTTTATTACAATAGTAACTTCGTTCCAGTGGTCTGGAACTGAACCAACAGTATTTCTGACATCTGCCTGTAGTATATTTCTGGAACTACTGGCGGGCTACAATCCAAGTTAACACTGATGTAATTTCTCTACTTGAGTACTGGCAAGAGGGGCGCAAGCTCTTAGAATAAGAAATGTACTGTTATTGAGGCTGTGTGTCATCGAGTCAGAATAACTTATAGCTGACCCTCCAGCCAGTTTTCAGAAGCAGTACCTTGCACTAGAGGAGATTTCTCATTCTTCTTCGATGGAGCAGCTAGTGGATTTGAACTACCATCCTAAGAAAAAAGTCCTCAGTGGATCTTCAGTTGGCTTAGGGTTGAATCCATCCAGAAGCACCATTAAGAGAGATCTGACAATCTGCTTCTGGAATACTACAGTCTTGAAAGTCCTATGGTGAAAAATTCTACTCTGAAAAGTACATGCAGAGTATCCAGAACAATGAAGGCTGTTTAAAGACTATGGTATGCCTGATCCAAGCCATCGTCTTTTCAATTATTTACAATGAATCTGGAAGCTAGACAATGACCAAAGATGTCAGAAGAAGCACTGTCTTTGAGCTGTGGTGTTGGAGAAGAGTCGTGAATGTCCCTTGGACTGGCCAATGAACAAACAAGTCTGTTCTGGAGAAAGTGAAACCAGAGTGCTCGTTGGAGGCAAGGATGGTGAAACTCTGTCTCACATATTTTGTGCATGTTAAAAGGAGGGACTAGTTCTTGGAGGACATCATGCTTGCAAAGTGTGGAGTCAACGTAAGAGAGGAAGCCCCTCAATAAGGTGGGTTGACACAGTCACTGTAACAACAGACTCAAGTGTGTTGCAGTTGGTGAGGATTGTACAAGATAGGGGCTGGGTTCAGGGCCATATGTTCATAGGGTCACTGTACGTTGTAGTCAACTCGATGGCACGTCACAGCCACAATGGTGAAAAGTTCCACAAACATGCAGGCTTCAAAGAGGGCAGGAGAAAATGTTCTCCAGTTGGCACAAATGATTCTGGACTCAGCTGCTCCAATAAAGGTTTGCGTTCCTAAGTTCCAATTCATCCAGGGATGAAGATAGCATTAAGAGAGAGAGAGAGAGAGAGAACACACCAACCACACTTGCTATCTGCTTCTAAAAATTGTTGTTGTTGTTATGTGCCATCAAGTTGCTTTCGACTCATAGTGACCCTATGTACAACATCCCTAAACCCTGCTCTGTCCTGTGCCAGTCTCATTGTCTCAACACAACCACCGCAATAACCCCAGTCACTGAACAAGAGTCCTCTGCAGCGTCACTCCTCTCTGGCCGCATGAGGTTGTCTCAGGTCAGAATCAAGGCAATGGTAGTGGCTGGAGACACACTTGTCTGGATCTTGTGTTTGTGTTTAATAAGGTTTGGAAGTTCACTTGGCCGAACCATCAACCTAGCACTTAGATGTCATTTCTTTGCAAAGTACATCTTCAGCAACTATGTATATTTCTGCTTTTAGTCTAAAGAAACTCATTGCTTCAAGTCTGTCCCAACTCGTAGGAACAGAGCTGTGTTGTGTTGTTGTTAGGTACCATGGAGTTGACTATAACTCGTAGCAACCCTGTGTACAACAGATCTGGACCTTAACCTATCCTTCAACGTCTTCACGACCTCTGAAATGCTCAACCTCATTATTGCAGTCTCTGTGGCACTCTACCGTTTGGGGGGCGATCCATCTTATTACCTCTCTTTTAATGGTCCTTTGACTTTCACATACAGAATTATGTCCTTCTCCAAGGACTGGTCTCTACTGGTACTATATCCACAGTACGTAAGTTTCATCTTCCTAACCTCTAGTGATCACTCTGGCTGTACTTCCCTCTAGAGGACTTGTATTTCTTTTTTTTTTTCACAGTCCACTGAGTATTTAATAATCTTCTCCAACCCCACAATTCAAAGGCATCAATTTTCCTTCTCCCATCCTTGTTCACTGTCCAACGTACAGAGGCGCAGGAACTAAATAGAAAAAATTAAGGCTTGGATCTATAACAGAGTTATCACTCTATAACCCTGACACACCAGTCTTTAAGTTTATTTCATTGCTCTTTAGCACTTTGGAGAAGTCTTTGATAGAAAATTTTCCCAAAGTCACAGGGCTTTTGATTTCTTGCCTGGCATTACCGTAGATTGTGGGTCTAAGTAAAACGAAATCGTTGACAACTTCAATCCATTCACCACCTATCACGATGCTGCTTATGGTCAAGTAGTGAGGACTGTTGTTTTCTTGATGTTGAGATGAAATTCACATTGAAGGTTGTAGTCTTTGACCTTCTGCAGCAAGTGTTTCAAGTACTTTTCACTTTCAGCAAGCAAGGTTGTATCATCTGCATAACACAAACTGTTGATGAGTCTTTCTCCAATCTTGATGTCACATTCTTCTTCCTATAGTCCATTGTTTCAAATTATTTGGTCAGCATACAAATTTAATAGGTTTGGAGAAAGTCTATAACCTGACACACACCTTTCCTGATTATAAATCATGTCATGTTTTCCTGTTCTGTTGGATAAACAGGTTTTTTGGTCTGTGTATAGGTTTCTTATGAGCATCATTAAGTGTTCTTGGATTCCTAGTCTTCTCAAAGTTATCCATCATTAAACTGAGTAGGATTTCCCAATAGGACTTCAAAGCTATAATTTTCACATAAATGACTGTCTCCTTTTCCATTCTCAAAACAACTGGTAAGTTTGGTTAGCTAACATTTAGGTTACTGGTTGTTCTTGTTGGGTGCCATTGATTCAAGGACACAAACGACCTTATGAACAATGGATCTGAGCCCTTATCCTATCCTGTGCCATCCTCAATCTCTGACACACTTAAACCCATTGCCACAATAACTGACTCAACCCACCTGGTTGAAGATCTTCCTATCCTTCACCATCCTTCACTTTCCCAAACATGAAGTCCCTCTCCAAAGAATAACCTCTCCTTCACCAACCCTCCAGCCTCTCCAGCATCATGTCCTTGTCCAAGGAACATCACCTCCTAATAACATGCCCAAAGTTTGTAAGGTGAAACATTAAGAAAACAAAAATCCTCACAACTGGACCAATAGGCAACAGGTAACACCATGGTAGATAAAAAAAAGATTGAAGTTCTCAATGATTTCATTTACTAGGATCCACAACACCAATGCAAGCAGTGGTCAAGAAATTTAATGTTTTATTACCTTGTATAAATCTGATGCCAAGATCTCTTTAAAGTTTTAAAGACCAAGGATGTCAGTTGAAAGCCTAGCTTTCACCTGACCCAAGTTACATATTGGCTACTATCTCTTGTACATTTAAAATCTGAGCAATGACAAAAGAAGACTGAAGAAGAACCAATGCCTTTGAAAAGCAAAGAAAATTAAACATACCATGGACCACCTGAAGAAAAAGCACAATCAGAATGTTTCTTAGGAGAAAGGATGAGCAACCTTTAGTAGCCTAGAGGCAAGAAGCTGCACTACAATCCCTGATGTGAGCAGTTCGAATCC